AAATCTGATCCTTTTCGAGTATATTAGTTTGATTGGCACATTTGCATAATAAATGTTAGAAGTTCTTGTAGAGGATGTACCTACTGAGAAAAGAAATCAGCCACAAAAAAAAACTGATTCGTACTTTTCTTAGTAAGGAAGTCCAGTCATCTTGCCCACAGAAATATAATTTAAAATTTACCGGATTGCTTCTCAACAATTAAGGTTAAAAGAGTTAATTAAGAAACCTGCTGTGCGGATTTTTTTAACTCGCCTAGCTTCTGGCGTTTTCAATGATTGTTCAATAAGTATGCTTTACGGCAAACAACTTTTTAAAATTAATTTGAGAATATTCTGTTCATGACGCACCTGATTTTTAAACTTAAAATCTCTTATGCGTTCGTGTATTCCTCACCAAGGTGCTGCTGGCTGCCAAAACACCTGCCGTATAATGAGCTGACAACAGATGCTTTCAATTTGGTCCTAAAATCAGCGGATACGGCTTTTGCTTGCCATATTGAGGGTTTACACCTCAAGCGAGTTTAGAATTTAGATATTGGCTCAAAAAGTATCTCATTATAATTAAAAATTGATCAATTATCATGTTTATAAGTAGTCATTTTTTTTTGCTGAAGACAATAAATAATTCAGTTTCAAGTGATTTTTTTCTCTAATCCCATTATTATTATTTATTAGACAAAATTTCTTTTTGTGCATGCAAAGCAATTTATTTTAATTGTATTATTTACTGTCCGGCATTAAATTTAAAAGCAGGTCCATCTAAACTACGAAAAGTGTATTCCAATGCCTTATTTCCTTTTTTAATAACAGGCATTTAGTGTTAAACAGTTTTATGCGCATATTTATTACTTCGCTAAAGTCCATTAACCACAACATGTTTCAGTATTATATAGATTAGAACTTTCTTCAAGCTTGACTGAATCAAATGTGAAATTTTTTTCCAGGATCGCAAAACACACATATACCTTTATAATAGTAATTCCAGATGCAAGCAAAAATCGTTTTGTGGCCAAGTTAATGATCTATAAATTTTGTCCCTAACTATGCCATTTTTCACTTTTCTGTTTCAGGTTTTGAAATCTGAAATTTACATATTGTGGTATATTTCGCTGGCTTTAACTGAAAATAGAAATTAGTAAACTTTCAGGCGTAAAGTAATTAAAACAGTTTGATTTGCGTGCCGGCAGATAGTTTAGAATGCCACTTTCCTATATATTACTTTTTTAGAAAATTTGTTTCACTATTGACCACACACTTATAGTTTGCCAACAAGTTAGCTTTTATATTTTTCAAGGAAGTAGGCTACTTATTCACGTAAATCGACACATTTCTCTCCAACATTTCATCGGTGTAAGTTGTTGATATCAAACAAAGGTTTTGCTCAACCTGGTCAAGGGATGATTTTCGGGAACACCTTGTAAGTTTGAGATAATGACTCTTATCTTCTGAAGTATCGTAGTTCTGATATAATTATTACATTTCTTTGGTATTTTCCACCTCTTTAGGCTTCTGTGTATCTGTATCTGTAAGTTTGGGACGGTGGTGTGCCACAGCACTTAGACCACAGTATGCCTATTGTGCGCCTCCACAAGAGGAGAGGTCATCCTTAACTCGTCTTCCAGCCTACCGATTTAACATGACGTCCCCGAGGGCGGTGCCTCTGATCTCTTCTAGCGATGGGTACGATTGGCCTAATCTGACTCTGCGTATTGGCGAAAGAGCACTACATTCACAAAGACTGTGCTGTATCGTCTCTTCCTCTTGATTACAAGCCCTACACAAGGGTGTGGTGCTAAGATGCAACCTGAATAAATGTTTGTTCAACTGGCAGTGGCCAGTCAAGATACCCGTTATTAGGCGTAGCCTTTTCCTGGTCAACGACAGTTTCTGGCTCGCTGGAACTTTATCTGGGTAGCTTAGCAGTTCATTAGATAAATTGCAGCCAATCGTATCGTCCCAGCGCTTTTTGAAAAGGATGTGGGAGCGTCCTTTGATCACATCTTTGGCCTCACTAAGGGCTCCGGTCCAGAAGGCTATAGCCTGGCGGCCTTCCTAGCCAGAGCATCGGCAGCCCGATTGCCTTTGCTGTGATCATAACCATTGATCCAGCTGACTACCACCGTTTTTTATCGACTGCAATGTTGTACTAGTTCTGATGTGAGTCATGGTCTAGATGGAGCTAGTACCTGCAGTGTGGACGTGCACGATCTTGTCACTGATATTGTTGCTGACGATGCAGCGATGATTATGCCAGTAATTTCCGTTTGGAGGACATTTTATGAAGCTGAGGGCTTTAGTAAGGTCCAGTTTGAGGGCTTCCTAAAATACAGACACAAGCAAAATAGATATGGAAATTTGTGATTGTGAATACTTTAACGGTCTAGTTTAGTTTAGTTTAGTTTATTTTATTGACGGACTATGCCATTTACGGTCGATCAACATCCAACACAGATTTAACCCGAACACCCGTTTTTAGTTCAAAAACATAGTCCTAAATTTAGTCCCACTTTTATTTTTGCAATAATTCAATTTATAATATTGAACAAAAAATTTAAAACGAACAAATTAGTGCAAATTACGAATAAATTATGCTCTGGAAGAAGTTGGTCGTTGACGTTGCCATCTAGGGAGAAGAATTCGTAAAATTAATTAGAAGAACATAATAGCGCTAGCGCTGATTGACGCTGCTGCCTCTAGCGAGAAACAATCGAACAAATTACTCCATACATACAGATTTTTATAGTTCTAGGAACATAATGGATCCACTTCTGTGTCGAGTGTTAACGACAATAAAATTCAAATTATGGACCGCTTCAAGGTAAAATTATTTTCCTCGCCAAATGCTCCATATCCAACAATTATATTATTTGTGTTATTATTGTGTATCCTCAAAAGTACTCTGACTTGAAATAATAGTTATTTCTGGTAACCGTCATCATCCACATAGAAAAAAAACTTCCTCTCTCATTAAATCGCTTCTATTTCCGATTCGTTAAATATAATTTAAATTGTCTGTGTCTTGTGTTCTCCGTTAATGACGGTTTAAATTTGTCTCGGTTCCATTCAACTGTATTGTTCAGAAGTTTTAACTTAAGCTACATTTCCCGGCATTGAAATTCGAAAAGATAAATAGCAGTACCAGCTACATAAACATATTTGCTCGCTGCTAGTACAATTCGCAATTCCATTGATCACAGGAAATCCGCGTTTAATACCGCCTGCATAATTTTCTTTTAATGAAATCCTTCGACATTTAGAATCATTGTCATTACGGGCAACTGAAGAAATTTTTAAAAAAGGCGTATAAGGCAAATAATTGTTTTCACTTTTGTCACACTTTATGTATAAGGATTAGATTCTAATTAATGAACGGTGACATATGTTACACGGTCATTATTAAGTGATTGTTCCTAGTAATTTAATTAGGTTCTGATAGTGTGAACGTTAAAACGAATTTACTTTCTTGATACGATTTTAAGTTATAATTGAATTGAGGCGTCATTTAACATAATAATATAGATTGAGATCAAACTGAGATTTTTTGCTACATTATTAAAAAAATGATAAGATAAATAGTATGTCGTTACCTAATGGCTAGCTTAAGGGCAATACGGGCATTTTAAAATTCTTTGCACGATAATTAACTTTCTTTGCCTTCAATACAGTTTTACTTCCTATAATTTTCCGCTAAATATGGAACGCCAAAAAAGATTGATACGATGATTGCCCATGACGTTTTCCTGGTAATAACCAACTCATTATTCTGAGAAGTTAACAATATTGTAATAAAGCCTCTGAAAATATGACATCATTTATGCCTAGTGTTAGTTTAACAATGGAAACATCTTGGCTATAATTGCAAATATATTTCACTCAATTATGATAAAAGTGGGAATAAAAAGCAACTAATTATCAATTTTCTAGTTAGTAGTAACTTAAAGGTCGGTGCTTAACATGACAGGCAATAAAAATAACACAAAATAATGTTTAATTTTACCTAAGAAGCAGGGTCAAATATTATGCATACATGAGGTAAAAATAATGCTATACAAAAGACAGTTGTATAAGATCTTTGACACAAAAGCGTCTTTATGTAGAAGGACTGAAGTCCTATTATAGGATTGGAGGGCATTACTCCTTGAGATATCATCTTTGGGCCTAACCATAAGAAAGACGACAATATTGAAGATGTCACCCTAAGTCCTTCATATACAGAAGTCTCAGGAAATCTACTAAATCAGTTTTGCTCTTGAAGTTTCATAAAGCCTACCAAGCAAATGATAGATATTGTTTGACTATACCATCATAGATAAAAAAAACTGCATTTTTCTATGGCGTAAAATCCCGTAGTTAAAAACAAACATGTGTTATTTCCTACTTGCCGCGAGTTCAAGCAAAGGGCAGATGTTAATTAACTCTCATAGCTTCTTAATGGTGCTTTAATTTTGGTGTACGAACTTTTAATTAGTTTTAGTTTTGTGAAATCCATTTTATTTCTCAAACCAATTTTAAATAGAAATTTGTCTGGTTGGTGTTTGCTGGTTTTAGTTTGCTACCTTCACCACACAGCCAGGTGGTCTCCGAATCCTAATACAGACTCTATTTAGAAATATTCAATTTTTTCTATAACATAAATAAAAATTATTCTATTTGGTCATCAAGCCTTAGCTGTGCATTGGCAAATTAACATCATAACAATATATGAATCAAGTTTCTTTTTCTGGTTTAAATAGAAACGACGACGGTCAACGGTCCCAGTTTAATATTTCAACCAATAAAACCAGATAATTATTTTTAAGTGTTTACTTTAAATGCCAGCACTGCGTTAAATTTTTATGTTTTTACTTGCCAATAGCCTGTACTATTTTGTTTTTGTTATAACTATGAGGTTCTGTTCTCACATTTCTGTCATCCAAAAACTTTAATTTATACACACTTTTATAGTATTTCATTATCAATTTTAGGATGATGACTATCCAGTAGAATTAAATGAAATCGTGATGAGCAATAACACTGGCCAAGAAGAAACGAATGGAATTGATGTAGTAGACGGCGCCGTCTCTTTAGGCGTGGACACTTCACTCTTTACTCAATCAAACAAAAAAGCTCCAAATTTAGCGACCTACTATTTCAAGCACGAAGATACAGACTCTGACATGGATAAGATAGACAGTTTCGCATTTCCTAAAACTGACTGTCTAACTACTAGTACCTTAGACGAAACATCAGAAGAAGAATGGACTTTTACTAGACCAGATAACAATGAAGTAACCAATAATCTTGAAGATGTCAAAGAACAAATCCCTAAAGCTAAGACTATGTCGGAAGATGAAATTCGCATATTGGTTCAGAAAGCGGAAGAACTTGTCAGTCCAGAAAAATGCAGGAAATCTGAGCGGAGTAATTCTCTTAAGATGTCACGCGTAAACAAATGGCTCAGTCTGGACAAACCGGGCGACAGCTGCGATGCCAGTGCGGAAGAAGATGAAAAGGAATCTCAAACTTCAGAGGACTTTGATACCAGTACTTTAAGGGAATCACAAAATACATCTTATGCAGACCTTAATAGATGGTGCAGATCATTTAGCTCACAATTGGATACCCCTAAACCGAATGAAACAGGGTAAGTTTTGAATTAAAACTTTTTTTTTGATGTACTTATTCTTTTTTTTTTTTTTTTCAGAATCAACTTCTTATCAATATCCGAATCTGCATTGCACAGAATGAATCTTTCGCCTAAGGCATTGGACAGGTGCACAGCCCACAGCACAAATAGTTTCAATATCAATGGAACTAACTCCAATTCATCAACCGTTGAAGAACTGTCTCCGTTTGTAAGTGAAAAAACATCGACAATCAGAAGGAAGAAATCGAAATTAAAGAAAAAAGCTTTGGTGAGACATACAAGTAAAAATACAACATTTAAATAATAATTTGTTGTCATACCTTTAGTTTGGAAAATCAGATCCCTATCTATTATGCAGTCCAGGAAGCCACAGACAACATAGAAACCTTCTAATTAAATCTGGATCATTTTCTGGATATAGTCAACCAAATTCCGTACACGAAAGGCACTCGTCCAGCGACCCGTCTGCTATGAATCAATGCGCACATGCTTATGACGTTTCTACAACCAGTGGGGCCGATAGTGAAGATGATTCAAGACAACGGTGAGTTAGTCGGAGTAATTTCTGTCAATAGTAATTTCGAATTAGCCCTTTGAGTTGATATTATACTCCTGTGCGCCACAATATAAAAAGATGTTCAGTATTCAATTTGATGTTTTTTTTTTTTGCAGGATGCCAAATTTCAAAATAGGCTTGAAACAAAAGTACTTATGTGGACCTGAAACAAGAGATGGAAGTCCTGGAAAATGCAGTCTAAATACCGTGGAATCTAACTCACTCACAGAAGCATGGGACAATTATCAGGTACCTACTAACAGATATTTCAAATCAAAAGTTAAATTAAATAGTAAAAAACTAATAATCTGGCAGCGGCAGCATTATAAAAAAAACAGCAATAAATAAATTTAGGATTTCAATCAAAATATTATCTCTAAGTTCAGGTGGGATTCTGACCGCCATGAGGCAAATGCTGGATGTCGGAAAAGGTTTTTAACAATAAAAACATCAGATAAGACATAGACTACGTTTATTTCACGCGTTGTATCCGGATACTAAGTGAATTAGGGATAATTAATCCATATTCGTTTATTTCACAACTATTGGATGGATTAAGATTTGTGATAATCCTTTCTCAAGCCTTGTCGTTTGTGTCTAACTTCATTGAAGGCAACAATGATGAAAAATAGTTTTAATTAATAATTAAAAGGTAAACATTTTTTTTTCTCACACTGTTTTTTCATTGAAAAATATCCAAATAAAACCAAATAACATCAATCCTCAACAAAATTACAAATGACAAATGTGATTTTTCCTTGAAGTTAGCAACAAACTTCTCAAATCTGAGATTGAGGTGTTTATTTCACATTTGAGATAATCCATTTTAAGTGCAATCCACTTAGTATCCGGATACAACTCATGAAATAAACGTAGTCATTGTCAGAATAAATCCTCCAATAAATAAAATGCCTTATTCACATAAAACATCTCCAACTTGCCTCCTAAAAATCTTGAAATCTCTGGTGCGCTTTTAACATTGTCATTTAACAAAATTATCAGGGAAAATTAAAAGTGATTTGTTTAATTTCTAGGAAAACTATCTCTCAGAGCCCTACAGCGAATCTCACGACTCCGACGCAGCGAGGCGGCTTTTGAATTTTGGAGAAGACTACAGGAATTTTATTGACAGCCAATCAGATTGGTCAGCCTTGTCTGACATTTCGCCCAAATTCAAAAGAAAAGTTATGGCTCTATCTCCGCCAGAGGCAAATGAAGATTCTAACAGCGACGAAGAAAGTTTAATGCAGATTATAAATGATTCAAGGGATCAGCTGAAATTTGCTCAAGAAGTATATGATCATGTTAAAGGAGGGGATAATAATGTTACAAGGGAAATCGTAAGTATTTGTTTGTTTTATTTTGTTTGTCAAAGCAATAATATTCTGTCATATTTTAAATCTTGAATAAATGACGTTTTGGGGGGTAACTGATGATAATGTATATATGGGTACGAATTTCAAACTTTGCAATGAGCTAGAAGAAGAAAACTGTCCAGTATGTATTGGCCTGCAATGATTTCGTTATTCCAATCCCAAAAATTTGAATGTGATACTTTTTAGAATCATCTTTGGAATGCAGGATCTTTCACACCAATCACACCTGAATTCTACTTTTTTATGGCCATTGCCACATTTTGTTTGCTTCTCTTGGTACATGTTTAGATAGTCAGTCTCATTGTATCGAGAATAGGCATGCACATTATCTGATGATGCATTTCCAGGAAATTAGTTGCAATCGCTCTTCTGAAAGTCAGCTGATCCATTTTGGTCCCTTGAAGTCTATGCCAGGCTGATTCTGATTCTTATAACATAGGAGCAGCATTCTCATGAGATTTTGTCTTTGTCACTCACATGAGATTTTGCAAGGAACTGATAAGGACAGGGCACTTGTCTGTGCCAGGTAGTCTTTACAGAGTTATCAATACAATGGAAATTCTGATTTGAACCAGAATCCTTGTCAGTAGTGTTTGCTATAGCGGCTTCATGTGGAAAAATATCTGCATCTATGGGAGTGTGATCTTCTCCAATATAACATTTCTCAGCTCCGACCAAAAGGTCATATATGTCAAAGGCCATTTCCATATCCTCAAATATTAGGGACAAATCATTATCCACTGATTATTGATTTTTTTTTCTTGCTCTTATCCCGATTGCTGATCTATCTATTTGTCGCTGCTGACCGTTTTTCTTTGTGCTCTTTGACCCTGGTGTTGATAGAGCGTTTGGTTGTTCCTACATAGACAGATCCACAAGGTAATTCTATAGACGCCAGCTGTTTCAAGAGGTGCCCTAGGATCCTTGGCCGCTCTTAGACTTTGCTGGGCTTGTAGATGGGCTTAATGTTGTATTTTTCTAGCGTTTGTCCTATGCAATCTGTGAAATTTTTGATGTAGGGAAGAAACGCTCTCCCTGCCACCTGTGCCGGTTCCTTGTTATTTGTGTGCTGTTGCTTCAGTCTTATAGCTCTATTTATCTCCTTATCATTGTTAGGATTTATTTAAAGTGAAATTTTAGGCTTATTATGTATTATTTGTAAGGTTTATAAAATTCTATATGTAAATTTGCTTGTTAATTTAAATTTCTTGGAGTACCCATTTCCTTCAAGTGCTGATTTTAGGTGTTGCATCTCGTCCTGAAGGTATCTGGGTTCACAAATCCGGATTGCCCTGTCAGATCGAGTTTTAATGACTCCTTTCTTTTGCCTAGAATAGTGATTGGATTCCTTGTTGAGGTATCTGTCCGTATGCTTCGGCTTCCTATATACTCTGTGTCCCAGTTTACCTGAGGGTAATCTTTCTAAGGGGATGTCGAGGAATGCAATTTTGTTGTCCTTCTCAACTTCCATTGTAAACTGTATCCTGGGTTCTATTGAGTTTAGATGATTAAGGAAGTTTTGGAGCTCTGCCTGTCCATGGTTCCAAACAACAAATGTATCATCTACATAGTGAAACCAACAAGTAGGTTTCTTTGTGGCCGTTCGCAGTGCTATATGTTCGAAGTGTTCCATGTAGAAGTTGGCGATAACCGGGCTGAGTGGACTCCCCATCCATCCTCCATCTGTCTGCTCAAAGAAATCATTTTGCCATTGAAAGTACGTAGTCGTCAGACAGTGGTGAAATAAGTTGTTGATTTCCTCCAGAAAAACATCTTTCAGATACTTAAGGCCTGATTCGCTCCCGACATCAAAACTAACCAGAATGTCGTTTGGTAGTAGAGTGATGTCACTGATCTTTTTGATGAAATGTATTGAGTCTTTAACATTAGAGCTGGATTGGCCAATCCGTGGCTCAAGGAGGGTGGTGAGGTATTTGGCTATGCTGTATATGGGGGAATCTATTGCACTTACAATGGGTCTGAGTGGGTTGCCTGTTTTGTGAATTTTAGGAAGCCCGTATATTCTAGGTGGTAAGAGGCCTCAGATTTGATGAGTGCAGTGGGAGTGCGTTTCAGCTTTTTGTAGGTGGAGGAGTCCAGCAGTTTGGAAATTTTTGATTCATAGTCATGTTGTTCATGATTACCGTTGCGTTTCATTTATTCGCAGGCAGGACTAGTATGTTCTTGTCTGTATTCAGGCTGCGAATAGCTTTCCTTTCCTCGTATGTCAGGTTGCAGTTTGGAGGTTTCGCTAGTCGTAGAATCCTAGGCGTTTCATTGCTTATTTCCTCCGCAGTGGTTTGAGGTTGGTGAGTTTGGTCTGTCTATGTAGGAACAACCAAACGTTCCATCAACACCAATGTGAAAGAGCACAAAAGGAACTGTCAGCAGGGACAAATAGATAGATCAGCAATCGCCTAACACGTGTTAAAACAAACAAACCAAGTCATTAGTTTCGACCAGACTCAAGTATTGGATAGAACCAAACATTACTACACCAGACCAAATCCAGTCATCGGAATAACACGGATGAGAACACTTCGTCCTCTATCACATGGCCTTTGAAGATGTCTACCGCAGCAGTAGACGAAACGCTAGATAGAAATATTACTAGACCACGCCATTATAGCCTGGAAAAAACTTTTTTACTAGATTTGACCGGCCGTGAAAGTCTTCATTCTTTATTGGGTCAAAATCTATTTGTTGCCTAAATTGCCAGCATCCTTTCAAATTGTCGGTAACAAAATATCCCAATAGGCACCAGCTAAATAGAGTCATCAGTTTTTATGATACCTTGACACCAGTATTTGTAATGGAAACAATCATAGTGTCAACTGTTATGATAATACCACCCTAGTACAGATAGATAGTTCGTTCTGCATCCTCACTCTGGATGTCATCTGTTAATCTGACACCTGTCACCCCGTCACCTATCATTTCGTCACATGACATTTATCATCCATCATTAACACCATGCGTACTCGCCATCTAGAATCACACCAGTCATAAACATCATCTATCAATCCCAACAGAAGTAACTTTCACCCAAGTCATGATAATGATTTTTCGTTTAAAACATATGTTTGTGTACATTTAAAATTCTTTGTTTCAGGAGGACTTGGTAATAAAGTGTGATCGCCACGTAGCCCTTCTGAGCCATATCGCAGAGTCGTCAGACGAATACAAGATGTCGGCCGGAGATAAAGCTGTAACATCAGGTAGGAGGTGGTTCCCTATATTTTACTGCTGTACTTGGACTTCTTTGCTATCTTTTTTATTAAAGAAAGCCATAGAAATCGTTGTATATTTCGTAGGCAGGTTCAAGCGACGTTTTGACAAGCTAAAAATTAATTAGTATTGTATTAATTCATTTCTTTTTTGTTTGTTTGTCTGATTTTGATAATAATATTTAGATTTTAAGGCAAGAAATAATTTTTTTTTTATATTTATTATATTCAATTTCCCGCTTTATAACTGCATGTTTTTCGCATTAAAGTTTTTTCTGCTTAATTTTTGCTTTTTATATAAGCGTGTACACTTCGTCTTAGTGCGCTTAGTTTATTCAAGATGCCTTTTTGTTTCATGCAAACAAACAAAAAGGACGAAATTGTACTAGTGCACTGTGTTGAGTGGATAACGCTTTTAGTCTTTTTCCTGATCCCATTATTCATATCCGTTTTTACTTTCATATAAATATCGAATTAAGTTAAGTACAGAAATCATGTGACAATTTTTTGAAAAATGTTGCATGGATTCTCAAGATAGATTAGAGCATACTTTACTTCTAATCTGCCTTGCTTAATTATATAAAGGAGATAACAATTATTGTACATAAAGATTTGTAGGCATGAGATATTTTAAATTAAATTGTAGATTCTAAATCTTCCATTAGGTACATAATGTATGAGGCTGTTTGGAAACATCCAGAATGCTGCCCCATTTTGTCTTTTTTTTTATAATAATTTGATTTTAAATCATGAAGTGTTTTCTATAAAGTATGCTCTAACAATGTCTGAAATCACTCCTACCTTTTCTCTGTGAAGGTTTCTACTGAATCTCTATTGTTTTGTTGTTATTTGAATTCTTCATTTATTTGATTATGATATTGAGATTATGATTGGTGTTTGACTAAAATAAAGCAGAAAAGACAATTTAATATCTTGAGCATCCACTTTTTTGCCTAGGTTTAATTCTGCATGTGAGTTCCATTTTTGTTTCAAAATACATGTGATTAAAATGTGCAATTATCCCTTGAATTATAATGACTTCATTTATTTCATGAGTTGTATCTTGATACTAAGTGGATTGGATTAATAATCCTGAAATAAACACCCAGGATTAAAGAAATAATCCGGATCGAAGTACTCAATCCAATCCTCCAAATTCGTAGGATTGGACTTGAAGTGGATTATCTCAAATGTGAAATAAACACCTTAATCTCGGATTTCAGAAGTTGCTAACTTCAAGAAAAAATCACATTTTCGATTTGTAATTTTCTTGAGGATTGATGTTATTTGGTTTTATCTGAATATTTTTTGATGAAAAACTGGTGTGAGAAAAGGAAATGTTCTATAAAATAATAAAAATTGAACAAAACAAACAGGATACAAAAAAGATCTACAAACTGATAGCTGAGGCAACAAAACAGGGAGAAAAATTCAACAGATCTATAAATATAATTTGCAATGGAAAAAAAAATATTCAAGGATGATTTGGATATGTCCAATTTCTGTAAAAAATGTCTTTCTAAAATAACAACCAAATCTCTTGCATTCCGTAACAGTTCAAGCTGTAGATTGTAGATTGCATTTGGAGTAGTTACAGCTTGTTCCAGCCGCTCAAACACTGCTACCTTTGCAAATATTTTGTGCGTGACTCTGCTTCTAGTTGTTCCAAGATTTGTAGGCTTCACCCAAAGGAGGCCAGCTTCCTGGGTAGTAAAGTGTCCACCTCTTGGGGTGTTAGCCGAACCCCTTTAAGGTATATCAGCCTTTTGCAGAAGCATGGGATTCACAGATTAAATATTCTGTAGTTTCTGTTGCTTGTTCGCAAGATTTGAAGTGGTCGTTGTCTGAGTTCCTTATTGTTTTTAGGTGATGTTTCACCAGGCAATGCCCAGTGAACAGACCAACGACTATTCTAATGTCTCTTCTGTTCATGTCAAGAAGTTGCAGTGGCGCACCCAGGGGGGCAGGTTATCGGGCCAGCCCCCCTCTCAGGCCGCTCCTCCAGTACTGTATTTTTACATTAAAAAAATGTAGCAACACCAAGGCGTGGCACCCTGACACCTCAATTTTTTTCTTCAGATTTTCAGTCACAAGCCACAACCTATGTTGCCCCCCCCCATCCCAAACATATTTTCTGAGTTCGTCAGTGAGAAGTTGTTCAGATCTCTCTGTTGAGATGGATATGAACCTTTTTGCCTGTCTCAGACCCGCAATGGATCTCCAATGAGCAAGCATTCGGTCCTTTTCCCAAGGTGTTGAAACGCCTTGCTGTGCGAGACGGTCTGCCTCCTCATTGCCCTCTATGCTCAGGGCCCGTATTCTCGTCACCGGGGACAGCGTTCTCTCAAGAGAACGATTGCTCTGCCTTAGTCAAAACGCTGTTCCCCGGTTACGAGAATACGGGCCCTGGTGTCCTGGCACTCACATCAGGGCTACTTTGTTCCTCCCAGCCAATTGCTTAAGGATATTTTCACCCTCCCAAACCAGCTGCTTAGAGCTGCTTGACTGTTGGACTGAAAGAAAATGTGCTTTTTTAAAGGACATCTTTTAAGGCATTCTTGGGCGCAGATGTTTATGGCTAGTACCTCCCGTTTGGTCCAGTTATTTCCAGACCGACTCCTTCCGTTAGCTTCGAACCATTTGTGTACCACAACGTCCACAACGATGTCCGCTTGCGTTCTTCCATGATTGGCGTTCTTTTACAACCACTTCATATGAAATGTTAAAGTTCAGTGATGTTATCATTATGATCTGTTGGTTTACTTAGGCACTCGAGCTTTATAGATTGAAGGGATGCGTGAATAGTCATTCAGATCACCAGGGTTCAATTAATAAATCAATGTTTCTCTCACCGGTGTCTCACAATGAGTTCATTCAACATATGAATATGAATGAATTATTTCAGAAACCACTGGTGCAATTTGAACAAAATATCTGACAAGCCGCATAAAAAAATCGCTTCTACGCTGTTGCCAGAGTTAATAATTTGTGTCTCGGCACACAATCTTTTTTATTTCAAATGAAAAAATGCAATTATTTTCTCCAAAATTGATTGTTTTTTCATCGACTTAACTACAGAAACGACAACAATGAAGGCAACCACAGATATTCCAAACATGAATAGGGTGAATGAATAGGTCATTTGACATCCCACCTGTTGTATTTACCATTATTTGATATATCTCATAATAAACCCGGTAGGTCGGGTGTCAAATTTTAACCAGACATCCTGTATCTAAGCCCAAAGGAAGAACATAGCATCAATTTCCTGAAATAAACGCTTACCAACATATCTAGCTAGCACACTAATCATATTTCCAAGGCTAATAAATTTGTTCGCCTATCATTTTGGGCTTTACTGAAAGGGAGAAGAACAAAGGATTGCAGCCACATTCGAGGTGTTTCCTTCAAACTAAAAAGTTTACTGTACTTACTGAAAAATTGATCAATTTCGCAAACACCCCGATAATATTTCCAAATTGAGTGTGGTTTAAACAACAAATTCACTTATGCTTGAAAGCTGATTTGCCACATCTCCCAGAATATTAATTTCAGTCATTTTGCGTGTTCCATTTGAAATTTTTAAAAAAAAATGTGTGCCTAGGGACAAATCGATAACTCAAAAACAATATGAATTGGCCAATTACTTGCATTTAAGGCCTCGTCCATTCTGGTTGCTAAGAGCTTTTCCCTAAAACTGGAATAGTCATTAGTTGTGGTATTCAGCTCGTCAATAGTATATTCCAGCCCAGCAAAATTAGTACTAAGATATTTTTCAAAATTTTCTTTTCTTATGTCAACATCAAGAACCAATAAATCATAGGCTTTTTTGATGTTAACATGAGATGAGCACTTTTATCCATGGAGGCGCGTTTAGATTGGTTAACCGTTTGATCAATTAGAAGTCCAAGTTGAGAAAACTGGACTAATGCAAAGATCAAGTCGAGTGAATTGGTAAAATAAGAAATTCGCCAACAGGCGGAAGACAGTATGTTGAATTGAGTTAACTTCCATGTAGGTCTCTGGTCACACAGTAAATTTTGTTGAGGTGGTGAACGACGATTATTTTCCTAATGGAAACATTTTATGATTTTCTTGTACTGTGTGTTGCCTTCTTTGTAGCTTCAGCTATGGATTATAATGAAGTAGAGGGTTTTGGCTATAGGTGACCTACGAATAGGAAAAACTTATTTTAAAAATGTGTACATAATAAAACGATTCCTTTATTCAAAAAGTCCAAATAACAGACCAACCTATTTGTGACCTTTCTCCATGTGTTTTTGGACATTTTTTTTGACGAAGTGTTGATATCTTCTAGCAACGCCGCGTAGGTCACCAATGACCTGCACCAAAAAAAAATTAAGATTACGGTTTTGATGGATCACTATACTAATATTTTATTAAATGCTTTTAAATAATTGGAAATCGATATGACAGCAACTTTTTTGTTGAGGATCCGCTTTGCAGTTAACGTTTTATGAGTCTGCTACTAGTATAAAAATTAGACCATAGAAGTAAATATTTAGAATCTATAGAGTTATTTTTATGTATAACTACCGCTATCTGGACGTTATGCTGAAGACGAAGACGTAGTGACCATAAGCACGTTGCCTGATGACTTAATTTTATGTCTTTTTTTTTTCAAATCAAAGAAACCTTGAATAGAGTTCACTTGCTTCAACAAAATGTGAAAAGACCTAAAAATTTGAGGTTTTTGAATTTAATTCACACTTCTTGTTTTCACAAATACGTAAAATTCTTGTAGGTATCATCAGAATTTTATTCCTCAATATACTTTGATGTATGTACATAACAGCCAATACCTAATAATCGGCTTAATAGCGATGTTACGTTGTATAATTAGTGTGGAACCTACATGAAATGCTAGCGAATCTATTTTAAGATATGTTCCCCCTAATGCATTTATTTTAACTAGTTTAGCACACATAACGATTTTGCTATGAATAATGTCGTTGTTTTGCGTTGGGTCAAGCTGCAATAATAAAAAAAACATTAGTGTTTGTTTGATAATGGTAAGTATATCAGAGCCTAAGTAGTTTTTTTGAAATACCTTCCTAATCAATGGCGATAAAGTTGATGGGTTTTTACAACTTTGTTGATAGTGTTGTTGTGCATGTGCTGTGTCTGTTTCGGTTCTTTGTGGCTATACGATTTTTAACACATTACACTGATTATCTTAGTGAGGTGGATTGGAACTTGGATTTAGTTAGAAATATCTTTGAGCTAATATTTTGAGATCCGGTTTTATATTCAAGTCAATCATTGACTAAGAGTCCCAAGTAAGTTAATAACCATGATAGTCAAAGTTATTTATAATTTTTGTTAGTAGGTACGAGATATTACGTATATCTAAGAATAATTTGAAACATCTGTTCCTCCATATTTTTGAATACATAAACTAGTTTAGACATTGTACATAATTAATATCTGAACAAATATTCAATCAAAAATATATATACCTACATATTATATGTTCCAGTTTTTCAAAATTTTTCCATTTTTTCACTTGGCCCCTTGCATGGAATTTATTTCATCTATACAAAAAAATTATGGAAGGTATATACAATTAGTTTGATTGATAAAACTAGTACTAATAATTACTGCAACGAAATGTTTGCTTGCAATACCTTCACAATCTCTTAAACACTAATCTAGATGATATTTTACCTACTTCAACTTTAATTTGCGGTTGCAAACGAGTAGCCATTCTAAAATAAAAACAAAAAATGAGAAGCGAATGATAAAATGATACTGACCAAGTAATTTAAATGTTGTTTCGTCATTTGATCAGTAACAGCCTTCGCATCGAACATTTGCGTTCGAAGTTCACCTTGCTCCATCCCACATCACCATATAAGTGTAGGATACAAGTTTTTTTAAATAATTACAATGAAAAAACGTTTCATCTTAAACCTCAAAGACATTTTCACTTTCGATGTCGAGAAGTACATACCGACTAGTTTTTTTTAATAAGAAAGCTGTTTCGCTTAAAAAATGTTGCTGATCTTATAGAAAAGGAGTGTCGCTGTTAACGATGATTTCATCCAACTACAGCTAAAAGGTAATAATCTTACGCAAAATAATGATATGATGTGGGTACCGACAAAAAACTAATTAAGCGAATATCACGTTTTTATTGCAACTGCATGTAGTTACAAATTTGCTATAACTGTAAAATAATAATGCATGTCCGATTTCTCATTTTTCATGTGATTTAGGAGCTAAATATTGAAACAGGGATTAGACTTTCGGGGCCTAAAACGTTATTTTTTGTAAGCTGCAAATCGGATTGACAAAATATTTTTTCCTGGACTAGGATTTTCCAAACGTTATACTAGACACTGTGTGGTTCTTTGTTTGCAAGAGATTTTGACATCATAGAATTATTTTATAAACACAAAACAAAATATCCACTATTTTAGTAGCTTTATAATTATTATTACAGGACTAACAACTTGTTTTTTTATGGTGCATTTCACAGTTGCTGCTTGCTGGCCTGCACCTGATGTTGATCATTCGACATTAATTTTTATAACGTGAAAGCAGTGTCGCGGATACAGTTTTATGTTAGTGGCGCCGGTTTTTCTATGGAATTTATTCTAAATAATACAGAACTTTATAGCTAAAAATACAGCAAATGTATAATTAGTTGTTTTAATGTTGCAGGTCTGCTAACCCAGTGGAAATCTCTTAGAATACGCAGTGTCAAAATGCAAGAGTACAGGAAATTGCAGAAGGAAATCGGCGACCTGAAAAGGTTTATTACAAATTTAGATGTACCTGATAATGATCAGTTCCAAGTTGGCGATAATCCTTCAGAGAATATCAATAATGAAATTGAGGATTGTAAGGTAAGAGTGTTTTTTAATTTTTTGGTAACGGTATAGAAATATTAAGTTGTTTTCTCTTGTATTTTCGCTAGTAGGAATGCAGTTTGATAACTAATCTATTTTTTTGAGAACAAACCAATGTTTATCTTTTCTTTTCAAATTTATACAGGGTGTTAATAAATAGTGGGATCAAACTTCTAGGATAAATAGCAGGTACTCATTAAAATACGAAAAAGTCATATTACAATCAAAAGATACATTTTGTTATCACAAACAAACCTGCCAAATTTGAAAAAAAAATTGTAGAGAGGATCTTTGAGCTAAATAACCGATTTTTTTTTTTCAAACTTTGACTCTTTGTATCTCGAAAACTAAGCATTCGCGGACCCACGTTTCTATTCACTTTTTTCCTATTTTAATGAGTACTATTTATTCTAGAAGTTTGATCCCACTATTTATTAACACCCTGTATATTGGTATACCTACCATTTCTCTTCTCATTACTGTTTCTGTTTTCTTTTTTGTTTGTTGGATAAGAATAATTGAGGATATATTATTGGAAACAACTATGTACCTACTGAGTAATAAAACAAACTTCAAGTATACGAGAAGGTTTGAAAGACAATTAGACAAAAAAATTAAAAAATCTGGAAAACTTTTGCCTCGACTTTTGCAATGAGAGCATAGAAGAGAGCTTACTTGAATGTATTTACGTATTATGACGTTACCGAGGTATTGTTCCATGACGATCTTATATCGGAATCGGTTGATAAATGGTATTGGTGAAAAAACTATATCGGTCGCATGCTTTATCACGTGTCAGAATATTCAAGCTGGTCGATATTAGCACTGGAAAACCATTGCATCGGTACCCAGTCGGGTCGTCTCCTTCATCAGGGCCACCATACTCAATACCATTACCCCAGCGGCAAGTCGTTAAGGGTTCTCCCTATCATGTGAAATATGAGGAAGGCGACTTTGTAACAAATTCTTTGTCGATTTTCTCTGACGAACGCCATCGAAAATTTGGATGCCACAAAACTTAATGGAGGACGCAATAGAAGATAAGTGCAAGAGTATACGTAAAAGAGGATTAAGCACCACCAGAAGTCGTTCCAGGTCTAGATTTGGGGGGCCACAAGACACGAATCGGCAGGAATTTGAGAAACAAGAGCTTTTACCGCGCTCAGTTGCAAGATCCTTGTGCAAATGTTGTCCGCTCCGCATCCAGTAACACCAAAGAAGCCCGTGAAGATCCCCTACCAGGTCTACATGAGAGGGGTAACATGTAAATCCGAGGAAGGAGATCGGGATACTCATTTCTATACCTTAAGTAAAAGGGCAATCGCCGCCTAAGTGCCGATTCAGCACTGAGAACTTCCAGATTACAGATTCCTTGCATTGCAATGGGACTTTGTCGATCGTCACAGGGCTTTACTGCGTTGGACCGATAATTTTGTCTTTCAATCACTATCGCGTTGACAGCTGCGAAAGTTCAGTGGCATTGAAACTACGATGACTAGAGATCCCAGAGCTGTTGCAGCTGTACGAGCCTCTGCGACAAAGTAGATCAGCGGTCCCTAACACGGGATCAGACGCTTCCTCTCTACAGAGGCTCTCACGCCTATTTTTATTAACTCTGACCTCTTTAGGCCTATAAGGTGAGGAATATCAACCTTTCAGTCACCTCTCTCAACCAGCACGACCTAAGATTGCGGGTTTGGTGAGACTACTGTTCCAAAATTCAAGTAGGTACCTCTATAAGAGCCAAAAATCGTGTAGAAACTATCACTCCGTTCAACTACAACCAACTTTTACTGGTCACCAAACTAAATCATAATTCATTGTCTTACTATCCACCAGTGGCGGCTCGTGGTGTCCAAGTAAGGGTGGGCGACAAAAATAAAAAACAGCCATGGGCAATTTTTTTTAGATTTTCAAGGTCGCGGCGTTTTCAAATATTGTATTAAAGCAAAGATAATCCTACTCCGAAGTAGGATTATCTTTGATTAAAGGTATTTCTTATTTTTCCATTTTCTCTCCAGGGTGGCGGTGCCCACCTTGCCCATATGGGCGAACCGCTACTGCTATCCACTCGCACCACATTTTTATCCAACTATAACTGTTGTCTGTGGCTTGTGGCGGTTGTCTTATTGGCGTTAAATTCACTGATTCTTGACACACTGACGTCCAATTTATCACGGTGACGGACTTTGTTTCATAGCATTCCGTTGCCTCTCCAATGGGGAGGATAAAGATAAAACCAGGTATTTTAAGGCAATCTTGGAAATCAACAATGGCAACTACAATCTGACAACGTACATTACAATATTTACTAATTTGTAGTATATTATTGCTTTTTGGAGCGAGTAAAACATAAATGACAACTGAAATGTTCCCCAACATTTTCTAGTCATAATGCGGTGTTGCAAGATTGTACGCAGTTTCCTCGAATTGAGAGATCTATAACAATATTATATCGTGATTATCAAATTCCTCACTTCAATGCGGTCTATTGGTTAGCCCAGTTTCACATAACCCTAATGCCCGGTTTATTCACCTTCTGATAAACTGTCAGGTAGGTATATATTTCCGGATTATTACGGAAATTACTAAACTTTATGAATGCGTAGGCTATAAGCAAACTAGTGACATACCTATATATGTCTTGTAAGACAGTCACCAAGAAGTTTAGCCAAAGCTGAATAAACTGGGGGTAGGAATATTTTCCATCTTCCAGATGGAGAATTTACGGTACAAGCTTCGAGTGTACGATGCACTGTTCATGGAAAATATTCCGTTTACTACATTCAGTTCCACCAGCAATACACAAACCATTCAGGGATCTGCAATTCAGTTACCGCTTTTAAATCGTTCAAAATTGCTTTGACATGCTCGAGATTGTTATAGGACTCAGGCCTCTCAAAAATTATAGGGAAAAAGTTAGAATTACAAAAAATCCAAATTCTTCACAATAATACTATAGATAATTTTCATTTGTTAAGGTTTTGGCGAATGCGCCAGTGAATACCGTTCTTCGTTTCAATACTGATTGAATGTTTCCTTGATTGCAATAAACTCTTTCTTATGGATAAATATCATGGGCAAGGGCCATAAAAAGTCTTATTACTATTTTCTAAATTTTAAAATTCGATTTTAGAAAAAAGTTTTTTTTTTTTTTTGGACTCATCAGCTTTACCAGACAGCTGCTTTTATGATTAAATAACCAATAAAATTATGTATTTTTATATTTTGCCCATTACTCGGTCTAGTACAAAAATAATGTGGAAAGTCGTAAAATTCCTTGAAATTGGAACATAGAAGTAGGAAAAACTTAAATTCTGATCAATATCGATTTCGTTTACGTGAAGTGAAAACAAATTAGGCCTATATCGGACTGGGGGCTTTTTGATTGCATCCTACCCATAGGTATTAAATCTTTTTTGGAACAATCATTTTAAAATAAATTCAATTTTTGGTTTAATTAGACGCCAATATAAATTAAATATTATTGAATTGAAAGTTTTTGTTTTAATATTTAATTAATAATTCTGAAATGCTTACCTATTTTTATTGGTGATAACGTCTTGAGCATTGTTCTCTTTTTTTTTGGAAAAACTGGACAACTGGAACCATAGCCTTGTCTCAAATCAATATGTACCTATATTCGCTTTATAGTGTGTCCAAGATAAGGATGGGGTAGCATTAGAATCTGGAGAACGGTTGGAGTTACAATGTTGGTTAGATCAGGAAAAAGTTGCGCAATTTAACGCTCAATGAAATGGTAATACTTTGACATTTGAAAAATTCCGAACATCTTCGGCGATATGCGGAAAAAAACGGAATTTTCCAAAATCGATTTTATTTTTTCCTGAGCTTATTTGAAAAGATATTTCAAAATAAATGTCATTTCATCGTAACAATTTTCTACTCTACAAGATGACATTTTCAAATTTGAAATCTGACGTTTCGTCTCTGGGCTGCCATTATCAACTTTATTTTTTTTAGTACGCCCGTTGATTTTTTAAATTAGATTTTAAGAGCTTCTGATGTCCCAAAACCTATGACGTATCGCATTTATTCGAAAAAATATTTTTTTTTTACTTTTTAGTAATTTCCTACCAAAATTCTCTTCTCTGTCTCTCTCTAACACATTAACTTCTTATGGAAAGTGCCAAAATATCAATTTTTCGAAAAAGTGCAATACGTCATTGGTTCTGGGACATCAGAAGCTTATAACATCTGTAAATGGAAAATTACCAAGAAACAAATTCTCACGCCAAAAACCCTATTTTAAGTGATGTCGATGACTAAAGGCAATAAAACCCTTGCCGGCATGACAAAGAATATAGTTAAGGTTTAGCAGGTAGCTCTGTAGAAGAAACAGTATGAAATATACGTTTGTTGCAAGTACATCTTGTGTCGATTATTCTCTGCCTAATATTGAAAACGGGTCCTTCACAGTATACTTTACACATCTAAAATAGAAAGTAAGGGTGCGTATTCAAAATAATTAAGTTGATGATGGTGGCCCAAAGACGAAACGTCAAATTTTAAAATTGTAGAGCAGGAAAAGTGGTAACGATTAATTGACATTTATTTTGAAACTAGCTGACCCGGCGAACTTCGTTCCTCCTATGAATTATTAAATACCTATTAAATGTTGTGTTAACGTATCTAAAGTGCGTTTTTTTTTTAAAGATAAAAGTCAAAATGACATTATGTTGGCAATACAATGTAAAATTGTCAATGCTTTCAAAATTTTTATGTAGAAAAGGCTTGTGTTGCCAACATAGTTACTAAATTTTTGAATTGGGGAATTATATTAAAAAAAAACAGATTTTATTAACTGAATTAAATTCAGTTTTTTTCGATGGTGAATTTGGCTTTGGTTGAAGAAAATTAATTTTTACTCTCTGGATCAGAAGTCACCTAAAATTAAAATTTTACATCATCCCTTTTTAGGCATCTTGTGGGCATTATTCTTATAAAGTCTACCACCAAATAAATAAACTCAGGCA